CTGCCCTTTTGACGCTGACCATTGAACTGGAACAAAAACAGTATTGGAACAGTATTAAAAGACAAAGTCAGCTCTTTCTGTCTCCCCAGAGTTTGGTGCAGTTCCTGGCCCTCGGTATTTTACCAGGCTTTAGTAAAGGCAGATATAATTTTAGATATGTTTTTAGTTGGTTAACATCTCATAAGTATTTTCTGTTTCTTAACGTGGTCTTCCTAAAAAACGCTCTTGATAGCTGATAGCTCTGTTGCTGAGTGCCAGTTTGTGCCGTATTTACCTACTTGGCGGAGGCCAGATACTTACATTGTCATGCAGTGTCTGTGCCATAAATGATGCCTCACTGGGCGCCTGCAATGGAGCCGTTGCCACATTTTGAATGCTTTCCGCAGGGTAGACCGGAGAAGTCAAGATTCCTAGTAAAAGATTATGAACGTTTTACAGCTCAGGATATGTGTTGCTATATCTATCTGTAAAGACCTACTTATGTCCAGGATAGAGTGAATTTCAGGACTTCCGAGCCCTGACCCCTTCCTCGAACCTTTCTCCACCTCTGCGTTCTCCGTAAGGAGAGAGTGGCCCAGGGGCGCCACGTGGTAGCACACGGTGGCTTTGGAAGCCTGCCCTCCCCAGCAGGTGTGGGACTCTCTGTTTCAGGTGGTCAGCAGCTGTTTGCAGGGACTCCAGGATTTGTGTCTTCAGAATACTGCAGACACCTTAGCAAGTCCTCTGGCTTTGCTGTGGCTATTTCTGTGTATGCACATACAATAGTGATTGTATGACAAGCCAGGCCTGTGTGGCCCTGCAGTGACGGGGATGGAGGAAGAAGAGAGTCTGATGGCATTTGCATAGAAGGTTACCGCATAGCCTCCGACCCCTCTGACCTCCGATCTCTGGTCTGTGTTGTTCCAGTAGCTCCACACCCTGCCTTTTTTAGCCGTGCAGCCCAGCTCACTGCCACCTGCCTCCCTGCTACGGTCTCAAGTCCACAGGATTGCCCTGGGACGGAGGATCAGAGTGACCGATAGCAAACAAGGGCCTTGGGTCTGCTTGTCTAAACGTCTCACATACTCACAGATCTCACACTCTGCATCCAGCTGGCAACTGTCTCCTCAGGGATCCAACTTACCCCACCAGGACACAGCGAGGAAATAACACCCCTGCTGTCCTCTGTTCCTGTCTTGTGCCCATTCACTGACAGATTTTAGGCAGTCTCTACATGCAGGTACTGCCTGAGTGCTGGGATCTGAGGGTGACAGGGCGGACACAGCATGGCCCTCTGGGAGTCCATAACCAAGTGAGAGAGACCAGTGCCGATCAGCTCACAGAGGCGCATTATCACAGATGGATTCCAGCACACTGCTGGGACACTTCATCTTGTAGGGAGAGCTATCAGGGGGGCCGAAGGGTGAGGAATCCTTAACTGTCTTGGAAGGCATACAGTGTTCCAGAAAGAGGGAGCGAGGACAGTTGAGGAAGGCACAGGCACCCTGAGTGGTGGCTGAGGCAGCAAAGAGGAGGCAGAGCCTCGGAAGGCAGAGCCTTAGGTGTCTCGGGAAGAGATTGGTCACCAGGGCAGAGGAGGTCTCTGGCAGGGAGGGGGAAAGCAGCTGTGCACGTTGCTTTGCCTGCTGCAGTGTGGAGGATGGACTGGGCTGGAGGAGGTGTGGGATGGCCGGTTGGGATGCAGGTGCAGGAGGTGCCAACGGGCAGTGTGATCTAGGGCGGTGGAGTGAGGTTGGACAACAGAGTGCGTCTAAGGAAAATGGGTAACGTGCGGTGATTTCTCGCCTTCTCGTTGTTTTCATGGTCCATAAGACAACTTGAGTTCTGTGTTTTCTCCGTGTTCAAATACATGTTCAACCTAACGATCAGGTCGTTTCTAGATCTCGTTCTTCAATAAAAGGAGTCAGGGCTGCCCGGAGATGCTTAAAGAGCGAAGGGAATACAGCATAAAGACACAGGAACCAGCGTGAACGGCCAGGGGAGAATAATGACTTGTACGTGTGGGAACATCTGGCAGACACTCTTCCCAGGTGAGCCACACTGATGTCACCAAAAAAGGGACAGGGCGGTATTGTGTGCCTCCTGAGCCGTGGCAGCCGGGGGACACAGCATCACTTTTTCAGTGTTCCTCCCCCAAACCATAACTACAGCTCATCTCAAAGGGACGTCAACTGAGCCAGGACCAAGGGACATTCTCCAGCATGGCCTGGACTCCTCAGGGGTTTTGAGGTCATAGAAGACCCCTACAGAAACAAAAGCTAGAAACAAAACCCAGATCTGAGGCACTAAAGAGCCAAAGCGGTCACACGCAGCTTTGATCCTGGACTGAATCTTGAACCAAGAAAAACATTGTCTTTTTTCCTTTCCTAAAGTGGACAGGAGTCAAACACTTGGCTGAATTTGGGTGAGGTCTGTAAATTAGCTAATGTTAGTATATCAGTGTCGATTTCCTGATTTCCATCATTGTACTGTAGTCAGGAGAGTGCTGTTGTTTTTAGGAGATACACACTCCATTATCTAGCAGGAAAGGGGCTAGATGTCTGCAACCCACTCCTAGATAGGCAGACAAAGAGAATGGGAATTTGAGAAAGCGAATGTTGATATTTAGAGACCGAGATGAAGAATATATACGGAGAGTTTTTGTATTTTTGCACATTTTCTGTAAAATGATAAACAATTACTTCAAAATAAAATTATTCTAAAATAAAATGCTAAACAAAGAAAAACCCCTGCTTAGAATCAAAAGTACACCTCTTAACATGCACTGATGTTGCAGTGTGCTGTTTTTAGAGGAGAAACCTCACAGAAAACAGAACTGACCAGGGCATACCACAGTAATTCTCCCTATTAACCGAAACCATGTATTTTAAGGCCAGACCATGCCAAGCTCTGCAGGGGTGCCCTTGCCTGGGACTCTGTGAGGGTCGGCAGCAGCCAGCTGAAGGCAGGAGAACATTTATTGGCATCAACCGACCAGTCTCTGGTTTTTCACAACCCCTGGGACCAAGGCACACTCTGAGCTGGTGCTGCTGGCCACAAGAGACACAAGCAGAGCCGCCTCCCTGGGACCCTGCGGTGCCCTCGGCATCCCCAGGCATTCCCCACGCTTCAGGAGAAGCCAGGGACATGCTGCTGCTTCCTTCCTTCTTTCCAAAAGCCACGGAATACTCCTAATTCTGTTGGCAGAACACACTGTGCGAAGGGGGTTGTCTCTTCCATGCTCGGCTTCCTTGGGTATAAACATCATCCGAGGGCGGGGGATTCCTGATCCGTCAGCCCTTAAGCCTCAGCATACTGAAAGGTTCCCGAGGCGGCAGAACACAAGGAAATAAAGACCTCATGGTCTCAAGCACAGTGACAGCCGCATGATGCACTTCTAGCCAGATTTATATTGGCGTCTGTACTCACTCACAGTTCAAGTGGAAGATCTTGTTATCATCGCGTGCCCCGTCTAGCCTGCAGTTTAGAGGTCCCTCTTTGATCTACCAAATTTACTTGGGAAGATTCTTGATGCAACCACCTGGGGAATGGCAGGGGTAGCTAGTCATGGACCCTGTAAACAGTGGTGAAGTGTGTGGAAGGAAAACTTAAGTCTCCTCCCAATGTATCATTTCACCAGCCCAGGGAGGCCAGTGGCTGGAGTGGTCTCTGGCAATTTCCAAGGGGAGGAGTGTGGGAGAACTTAGAGGGCTGTGAGGGCTTTTCCTGCCTGGGGAGGACTTGTAGCTTGGAATACATGCAAGCAGTTGTGCAGAGCCTGAGCTGCCTGTGTGTACGCACACCTGGATGCGTATGCTGTTTCTTCTGAGATGAAAATGTCAGACCCAAAATCTCTTCCCGAGTCCCCCGCTGTCTTGGCTGTCCCAGTTGCAGTGGGCGGGGCTGGCTGAGACAAACAGCTTTTAGTGCAGTAGCATCTGGAGGCTTTGGGGGCTTACTTGTACTCCTGTTGTGCAAGCGCTTGTGTCTGCTGTGGCCGTTCCCAGCTTCATGGGCGGTGCCACAGCACAGACTCTTCCTGCTGCGGCCACCTCCTGCTGCCCCACCGCCCAGTCCTCCCTGGGAGCGTGCACTGGGGCTCATGGCCTGGGTCTGACGGTGCCGAGGAAGGCTATGCCCATGCTGCCTGTGCGCAAGAGGATGCCTTGCTTCCCATCATACCAGGGCCGGCTGAAGACGGGCACGGAGGCTAGGGAGGGGGAGTGTGAGGTCAGCCCTCGTATATGTTGCTCACCTCCTTTGTAACCAGTTACATGAGAGGGGACAAAAATTCTTAATTTTATTCCAGTAAGATTCCAGTGGATACGAAGAGCATAACTAGGAACAGCTTTATGAATGTGAATTCTGACCTCAGTGAATTGTCTTGTCGAGAGCAGGGATCTGAAGAGGACTGTGCCACTGGAGGATCAAGAGTGAATTATCTCCATACTGATAATTCTGCGTCAGACTAAACCTGGTGTGCAGTAAGCAAAGGATGAGGCAAATGACATGAAGGGGACGGGTAAGAGGAAAACATTTTGATAGAAAATTCTGCAGTCTCAACAAAGTCGGCATGTTGTTACCTTTGACCAATCTCATGCCGTTGAGATTTTCAGGTATTTTCGTAGATGGCTTGGTTGTTAGCAAGCAGCAGAAGTCTCAGAATCCCTCTCCTCCCACTCTACAATCACCTGGACTCTGGACACATAACTGGTGCATATGGCGTGTCTCCGGTGACACTATATGGCCATCTCCCTCAAAGGCATTGTTCTTTTATTAGCAGTCAGGTCAGTGACCCAAGTCCACAGAAGGCCTTCATCTCTTACTCTGTATGTACCCTCTTTGGTGTAATTTGGAGGTCATCTAATAAAGGGCAAGTCGCTTCTACAGAAACCAAAGTTGCTCCTAAAGGGGGACAATTTTTATGCCGTAGAGACCAAGAGAACCAGATTCGCTCCTGCCGTAACCGTGGGCCTGTTGGGAACCTGGGAACTTGCTGCCCAGCCTGCCAGGTCTCAGCAGTGTGCGCTCTCACATTCTCTTGTTATAGATGGTATTCCACTTACTTTTATAGATGGAGTTTTTGTTTATCTAGTTTTACATTGTCTCAGACACTGAGTCAGTCAGAACCCTGATTTGGAACTAGAAATGCACATTATGTTCATCTATGTTTTTGAAAATTTGAAATCTAAAATTCTCCCTTAAATTTCCAGAATAGATCAGGGCCCATCCAAGTGGGGACAGCACACAGAAGCCTGAGATGACGGGGTTAGAACAGCCTGAGTGGGGCCTGTGGGGCCGGGCGTCCAGCGAGGGTCGTCAGCATGGTCCAGTCCTGCCGAGAGGTTGGGTTTAATGGGGACATGGAAGAGCCCATTTGGATTTGGTCTTTTCATGGTGACAGATTACCTTCTTCAAAAGAGTGGCTTTGATGTTATAAAGCTACAGTCAGGAAAACCGCATGGTTCGAGTTGAATGGAGAGTGAACGTTCTGTGTACTGAAGCATGTACGCTGAGATTCGAACGCATACAAGGTTAGAATCTTCTGAATGTGGCATCATTGCTTAATGTGCTTCGACAGCTCTCCACTGTTTGGATGAGCAGTTGAATTAGGGCCTCACTGCACGCTGTTACGGGCTGAATTATGTCTCCCTCAAAATACATATATTGAAGTCCTAACCCCAGTTCCTCAGGATGTAACTTTATGTGGAAATAATGTTGCAGATGTGATTCATCAAGATGAGGTCATACTGGAGTAGGCTGGGCCCCTTACCCAGTATGACCGGTGTCCTGTTCCAAGGGAAAATTTGGACACAAATAGACATGGGACAAGAATACCACATAAAGATAAAGGTGGAGATTGCAGTGATGCTTCTATAAGCCCAGGAACGACAAAAATGCCGGCAACCGCCAGAACTTCCAGGAGAGGCCTGAAATGGGTTCTCCTTCCAGCCCTCAGGTGGATCAGACCTGCTCACATCTTGATCCTAGACTCCTATTCTGCAGAACCGTGTGACAAGTTTCTTTTGTTTAACTGACCTAGTTCATGGCATTTTGTTATGGCAGCTAATAAACATACACTGAAATATTTCTAGGTTGATTAGCCTGTTACCAAAAATCAGACCTTAGGAGGAGTAGAAAAATATACAGTTGAATAATTAATTAGTCCTCAGATTAAGGAATGACACCTTAACTATTAAAGCAATAGGTAAAATCATAGTGGAAGATTGCTGGATTTGACCATGAAGAAAATTAATGCTATAAATCAAATGTTAAACTGTTGATAAGCTGCAAAAGAATATTTGCAATATTCGTATTTGCAATATCCTAAATAAAGAGCTCTTATAAATCAATAAGAAAAGGGTAAATCTCCTGTCTCTATTCCTTGATTTCTTTTTCTCCCAAGATATTTTCCTACTCCCAGTTCATTTACTACTTCCACCAAAAAAACAACTTTTTACACCTTCTCTTCCCCCTTCTAACTTCTCACCTGGTACCCTAGCCTTGAGCTTAGTGGGCAGGACCTGCTATCCATGAGAGCCACCTGCCGTGTCTGACACCTGTTTCATCCATTCCCTATCAGCACCCACCTGCCTGCCTTCCCACCCAAACAGGACAACACGTCACTCCATTCGCAGCTGCGCCCTTTATCTTCTCTGGGACATTGAGCCTGCAGTCATTGTCTTTTCCTTCCTCCATGGTCAGTTTCATCCTCATTCCAGAATCATTCCTGCTTGCATTTGCACCCATGCCTTGACATGTCTCATCTAAGTGAAGCCCTCTCATAGCCACATTCCTCTCCAGCCACTGCTTCATTTTATGCTGCTTTTCTGCAGACCTCTCAGGACCAGCTGCTGGACTCCGTGTCTCTGCTTCTCATCTCCTGGTTTCACCCCTGCCCACCCTAGTTGACATTCTGTTCTACCAGCTGCCCAAAATGGGTCTCATCAAGGGGCCTTGTGGCCTGCCTCTGGTCAAGACCAGTGGCATCTTTGGTGGCATCTCAGCAACATTTGACACAGCCTCGATTCCTAGACACTTGCTTCCCTAAGTGTTTTTGACCCAGCTTGTGATCTCCTCATCTCTCTGCTCCTTCATCCCTTTGCTGTCTCCTGCTCTGCCAGGGTGCTGGGTGTTTGGAGGCCTGCAAGCCTCTGTCCTCAGCCACCCCTACTCTAGCGGCCTTCTTTCAGAGTGACCGCGTCTGGCCCCATGCCATCAGATGCCATCCCTTTGCTCTTGATTTGGATCTATAACCAGGACAAGTCACTGCTGAGAGGTGCCCTCCACCTTCACTTGGGTCTCTAGTTGCCATGTAAAATTGAACACAAAGAAAATCCGATCAAAGTACGTTCCACCAAGGCCTCCTTGCCTAACTGAAAGGGACCGTCATCTGCTCTGTTGCTCTGGCCAGTGAAGAGGAGTGTATCCTTGATTCTCCCTTTGGACTCAGCTACAGATCCAGTCAACTCTCCGTCTCCAGCGCGTCTCACAGCCAGTGCTTCCTGCCCGCTCTGCTGCGCTATATCCAGTCCCAGCCTGGGACGACACAGCAGCCTGTCTCCTGCTCACCTCACCCTGCCTTACATCATCCACAGCCCAGCAGCTCTTGTGTGATTTCTGGACAGTCAGTCGAATCCCGCTGTCCTCCCATCGCACCTGGCGTTAAATCCAGGCTCTCCCCTGAGGGGTGCATGGTCCCGTTCTCCACCCCTTCCCCTGTGGGGACCGTCACTGTGCTCCACCCGCCCTGGCCTACTTGGTCCCTCACGTTTGCCGGCTCACGTGCACCTCTGTGCATTTCCTCTGTGGCATCTCCACGCCGAGGGCTCTTCCCTGAGACCTCTCCTTCACTGCCACTTTGTCATCATTTGGGTTTCCGTTCAAACATCTCTTCCTCTGAGGCCTTCTGGGGCTACTTTGAAAAAGGCAGTGCCCGCAGCCAGCTTCCCTCTAACACAGCACTTGCTGTGTCTCTGTGTTGCTCACTGTCGCCCGAGATTATCTTGTTTGGTAACATGTTTCTCTGTTTTTACCTCTAGAACGCACCCAGCTCCCCCTGGACAGGGACAGGGCCTCTTATTCACTGCTCTGTCCACACCTCCAAGAACAGAGCCCAGCATATCCCAGGCAGGCCTTGTTTTTGCAGAAGTTCCAGGTCCTCTTCTAGGGGGATGGTGGCCCTTGCTTTGGCAGAGCCAAGATCAGAACCCAGCTCCCCAACATGGGTTTCCTAGCCCCAAGTCCTGTGGCCATTCAGGAGCAGGAAGAGGCAGCTGCCCTTAACAAATGCATCCATCAGGAGCTAGGCTGCTCACCTTGAGTAAATCTGAGGCCTGGGAGTCATACCCAGAGTACTTTGTCCTCTCCTAGTGGAGTGGCAGAGCTGAGTAGCGTGCCCCTTGAAAGCATCAGAGAAAGACCTTGGACACCATTAGTAGTGTCTCAGTGACCTTGATGACTTCCAGAAATAGTTTGCTGGCCTCACAGCACACTGCCCTGAAGAAGGAAAATTCTGGAAGCCCAGAGGGAGTAGCTGCAGGAGAGACGGGGTCAACTGGAAACTCCCGCGGTGTTCGGTGGGAAGGGGACCTGTGTTCTGCCATCCTTGGGCTGACAGAGGACTTGGGATAAGGATTCCCAAAGACAAAATTGAGGGTGGGTCTTCTTTACCGCCTTGGGTCAAGGCTCTGCCGCCTTTTCCCTCACAAATTAAGGCAGTGGTTAAAATTACTGTTTTCAGATGAGGATGATCATTTTCCTTGATTTCCAAATGTTCCTTTTTAAACCTTTTTAAAAACGCTCCAGCAGCCCAGCTTTTATACCCGCGTGCTGTTCAGTTCCTCCTGTTCCCGTCAGGGTGACATCCACGCGGCTAAAGCCCGCGGCGTTCTCTGTCTTCCACGTGCTGGGCTTGTAGCAGCGAGGGCCTTCTGTCACTCACTGCTCTCCTTTCCACGGCTCCATCTGGGTTCCCTCCCTCTTTACTGGCGGTTCCTTCTCAGCCTTCCTTGTCTCTTCCTGTTTTTCCAGTCACTGGGGCTTAGTGTTTCCTTTCTCCTCTCTGCGCTCCCGCCCGGGCCAGCTGCGGCCGTTCCCTCAGCTTTCCACCTTGTCCTTATGCTCGTTGCTCCCAGGTTTACATTCCCATCCAAATTCTTCCTCAAACCTCAGACTCCTGTTTCCAGCTGCAATGTGGCACCTCCACGTGGGTGCTTAAAAGACACTGCCAACTCACCAGGTCCAAAGTCAGCATCTGATCCTCCCCTCCAGACATGATATCTCCAAATTCCCATCTCAGAGTGGCAGAGCAGTCCCCCGTCGGAATTTCACTCCTCTTTCGAGTTTCACGCCACCTCAGCCTGTGTACCAGAACTGGACAGCGCCTGCCTGTCTCTGCTGCAGGACCCAGGCCTGGGCTTTGCCTTCCTTGCCTGTGTTGTTGTTGAGAGCCTCCTGACTCAGCTGGTCCTCACATTCTGCCGCCTGGAAGCGAGCAGCAGTCAGCCCATGGCATCTTTTGCTGCCTTCGAGGACCCTCTTAGCCAGCAGCCCTTTGCTAACCATATTTCCGTTGCCTTCCGCCACATGGCAGTCTCTGAATTTTGCTTTTTGTCTGTCTTCCCTACTTGAATGAAATTCCATGAAGTCAAGTGATTTTATTCCAGACCCAAATCCCAGCACCTTGGTTCCTAGCACTGATGAGGTTCCTAGGGAGCATCTGCTGAGTGAGTGACAGCGAGGGCACATCCCCACCCTCCCCATGCAGCTGGATCAGAGATGGCTTGAAGAGGTTCAGCCAGTCTAACTCAAATCTGAAGACATTTTTCCAGATTATAGATTACATGTTAGGTTTAATGTTTCGTTAAATTTAGATTACCACTAAAAAAACATTTTTTGAAAAAAGATGTTACTCGTGGAAATCCCTCTTGTAATTCTGTAGCACAAATTATTTTGATCTGTTTTTTAGGTTATAAAATGTTGTGGTTAGATACCGTATCTCTATAACCAAGGTCTTTATCTAGACATTGATAGATCCTGAGATTGTTTTGTTGTTTTGCTGACATTGTTGTGATTCTAGTCAGAAGAGAAAATTGTACTGTTCCTTCCTAAATGAGCTGTCTTCCATAGTAGGTATACTTCATCTTATGGTCCACGTTTTCTGCCTCTTCTTAGTTAGTGGTACTTTCATGGATACCCACGGTTGCTGACCTTGTGGCCAGGATGAGTGGAAGAGCCTTGAGCCCGGCTCTGCAGCCGCGTTCCTATCTGGCCCGACTGGCCTGGCGAGGTGGGAATGGTGCCCGCAGCAGCAGGACTGGCTAAGCATAAGTAGGTGAGATGGATTCAGTTGTTGAATCTTTATACCAGTTGGTTCAAGAGCTACTTCCTTTTATGGAGAAAAGGGTCTCCAGGAACATGAATCCATTAGAGGCTAGCATTTTCCCCAAAGATGTTCATGTGGAAATTCTCTTCCCACTTCACCCCCACTCGTCTCTTTCCAAAGAAGTTGGTTCATTCAGTCAAGGCATGACAATTTGCAGACCCTAGAACTACAAACAGGATTCAGAGTCAGGAGTAAGTTTGCTGTGACTTATTACCATCACCTGTGTCCAACCAGGAGACCAAAAAAGGAGAACCTAATTTAATTACAAAAGTAACGTTCATAGTAAAAAAAAAAAAGAAAACAATCAAAAGTGAAACAAATGCTGCAAAAAAGTATCCGGTAAATGATGAGATTCACTTTCTTCTCTGTTTCCAACCCCAGTCTCATTCTCCAGAGATGAGCACTATGGACAGTATCTTGTGTATCATAGTTTCTGTTTTGCCTTCCCAGTTAACAGTATTTTTGTGATTATATAATTTCATTTTAAAGCTTACTTTTTATGTGCATTCTTGTGATTTCCTCTGCAGCTTCATGTGTTTCACTGCTTGGAGGTGCTGTGATTGATTTACCTCAACCCTCTTTTGATGGACAGCTCTGTCGTTTGCAGTTCTTTCTAATTATGAATAGAGCTGAAATGAACATTCTCGTGCATAGGTCTTTGGTCATTAATGGGGAAGTGGATGAATAGACAGATGAATAGGTTGGTTCCCAGCAGTGTCATTGCTGGAGCAAAAGTTTTATGTGTTTATAAGAATATGGGTGGGTGATATGGGTGGGTGTAGAAATTCATTTTTATAAATAATACCAAGCGCTGTAGATCACTTATAATATGGTGCGAAGGCTTGTGACTTGGGGGCTGGCCACTGGCTGGGACTCTGCAGTTCCTCGCAGTGTGGCTTTCGACCAGTTCTCTCACTGCCCAGGGCCTCGTACCACTGGGACGATGGTGACAGTTCCCTGGGTGGTGGGGGGACCGTGTCCAGGCAATCCATCACTTTGATTGGCTGTTTCTGTAGTTTCCAGAAACTCTAGACGATGTTTACTGAGCCTGTCTGGAGCAAGTGGACAGACCCCAAGAGGTCTGATACAGCGGCGTTTGCTTTCAGACCTGCCTGGAGACCTCTTGGAGTCTGAGAACTCCGGGCGATTGGAGGATGGGGGTAAGATGTACACAGTCAGTTTCAGGTACTTATTCTTCTTGGTGTTAGACCTTCTGAGCTGGTACTCAGTAGATCCTTTTCTCTTGCTAGTTTTAAAGGAGTTAGTTCCCAAACGGCAGTGTTTTTGGCTCGTGTTTCTTCCCTCCTAGTCCAGCAGACGTACTCGTGGCTGGCTGGAAGCTGCTGTGGGTCACTGGTGATTTTTGCTTAGATTGTTTGGTTTTTAGTACTGAAAAAAGTAGCAGGCTGGGAGTCCAAGGGCTGCCAGTGAATATGTCCTGCTTTTTCAAAGAAATTTCCATAATTTCTGTTTTGCCTTCCCTGTTATCAGTATTTTTGTGATTATGTAATTTCATTTTAATGGTATATAAGCTTACTTTAAAAAAAATGAGTTGTAGGCAGTATAAAGATTATTAGTATAAACTATATTCATGGCAAATATATTTTGGGGATGAATTAGGATTTTGAGGGTGAAAGTTTTATCTACAAATACATTTTCTTGAATGTTGTAATTAAATAAAAATATAGGCCTAAGGGACAGCTCCATTTATGAAATTTTTATCATGTTTCTCATTTTCTGCGTTATCCAGAATGAAGATGGTACTGGGGGGTGTAGCCCTTTTGTAGTGTTTTAGCGATTCTGCGCCTGCTGTGTCTCTCAGCTTCTCAAACTTCACTGTTTTCTAAATTTCCAGTGAATCTGCCAGTCTTCCTTCACCAACCACTCCACTCATCCCATACCCAGCCCCATCCACCTGTCTGTCATTGTTCTGTCTGTCTAGCATGTGCCCCACCCTCCTAGCCTCACCTGCGTGATTGTGGGGCCTTAGCAGATAGGACAGCCTGCCCTGCTGGCTGGTGGGTGGTGGCCCAGTGGGCTGTGTAGAAGCTGATTTCCTGTGCTTGCCAGGATGGTACTATGATCCAGGGCACTGTTGCATGGCAGGCCTTACAGAGCCTACCTGAGGCTCCCTACTCAAAAAATCACAGTTAGACCTGTCCTGCTTACTGAAGGGCTCAGGCAAGAGTTTTTCTGTAACGGAGTGACCATCAGTCAGTGACAGGGTTTGAAATAAGAAATGAAGAAGTTGTCCTGATAAAGACAACCGTTACTGTAAAAGTAGACTGATTATATTACATGCGTTTCAGGTTGCTGGGGGGCTGCTTTTGGTTGGAGTGACCTGCCAATACAAGAGGTGGGAAGAAGGCAGTGGGGGCTGGTGCCATGTCTTTTCCCTATCTGTGGGCCTGAGCTCGGCCATTGCATAGCCACCAAATAAAGAGCTTGGGCATGGACAAGGGGAGCCTGTGATGGCCGGCTTGTGGGACCTCACTGGGCAGGTGCACACACACCTGTAGGGACCCAGTTCCAGTGGCTGGACTCATGGAACCCCACCTGGACACCTGGGATATTTTGTTGAACCAGTTGACCTCCTCAGCGGTGACTGAGCCAAACTGGCCAGGTATTTTGGATCTTAAACATCTGGGATCATGAAGACAGCTGTTGAATGGAAAAGGAACATAGATGCTAATGGTGAAGATAGCCCTGAAACAAGGGCCCCCATGCTTTCCACTGTGTGACTTCCCATTCTGGGGTGACCGTTGCTGTGGGAAAAGACACAGATGCTGAGTGACGAGAGGAGAGCCACAGGTCATTATTTTCACACCGTGTGTGTTTCTTTAAACTTTTATTTTGAAAAAATGTCAAACATATAGAGAAGTTGTGGTAATAGGGCAAAGAACTCTCATATGTTCTTTACCCTGATTCCCCAATTGTTAATATCTTTCCCACATTTCGAAGCATTTCCATTGTTCCGTACATATATAGAGATACATATATGCACGTATATACATTTATATGTACACATGTCATGATTCTTTTCTCTGGACCATTTGAGACTCATTTGTAAGTGTCAAGTGTCTTTACGCCTAAATACCTGAGTCTATTGACTAAAGGTAGGGTTATGCAATTACATAGCACAGTAAAGTTAACCACAGTCAGGATGTTTAACCTTAATAAGATGCAGGGTTGAATCTACAGACCTCATTCAGGTTTCCCCAACTGTTCATATAAACCTCCTTTATGTTATTCTTTTATTCTGGTTCAGGAACCAGTCGCATTCCTTTTAAGACCTCTTTAGTTTCCTTTAGTACAGCGCATTCCTCAGCCTTTCCACACCTCTCGTGATGGATGGGATTTCTTGAAGGGCCGCTTTGGTTTGTGTGGTGTTTCGTTGGGATCCCATCTGGTCCCCAGACAAGAGGTGGCCTTCTACAGCCATGATGGTGTTGGCTGGTCCAGTTTTTGCTGATGTTGATCTTTACAACTTGATTATGGTATTGTCACTGAAGGTTCGCATTGTTAAGTTACTATAGTCTTTCGTCAGGGGATGAGGGGCATTGGTTCCAGGACCCCCTGCGTGTACCCTGATTCGCTCATAGTCAGCCCTGGGAACCCACATATGCAAAAAGCTGGCTTTCCATATACGCAGGTTTCAAATCCCTTCAAGACTGTATTTTCCATCTGTGTCTGGCTGAAAAAAGACATGCTTATAACTGGCCTCTCATGGTTCAAACCTGTGTTGTCCAAAGGTCACCTGTATTTTCCTTTTGTACTTACGAAGTCATCTGAAGGAAGATGATTTGAGACTGTGTCGACCCTCTGCTCTCTGCAGATGTCCATTGCCTGGTGCTGTCCTGTTGTGATGATTCTTGCCTGGTGTGCCTGTCATTGTGCATTCTTGAGTAGGCATTCTGCTTGAAGAAATGTCAGTTCTTATTTTTTGTTTTGTTTCTTACTTAGTTTCCACATTTGTTACAATGAACACATTACATTTAGCATAGAAAACTAATGTATGTATGTGTCTATGCGTGTGTGTGTGTAGGAGTATAAGGATTAAGTATTCCTTATCCGAAATGCTTGGCACCAGAACTGTTTCAGAATTGAGATTATTTTCTGATTTTGAAATATTTGCAGTACACTTACCAGTTGAGTATCCCAATCCGAAAATCCAGAATGCTCCAATGAGCATTTCCTTTGAGTATCATGTCAGCATTCAAAAAGTGTCAGATTTTAGAGCTTTTTGGATTTCGTATTTTTAGATTAGCGATACTCGACCTATATGTATGTGTATGTATATTTATGTGTATATGTATGTGTGTGTATGTATGAAGCATGTGTATGTGTGCATATGTATGTGTGTGCCACTTGTGTGTGTGTGTGTTTGCATATGTGTAGGGGTATACAGCATATATGTGTTTGCATGTGTGTATCTGTATGCGTATGTGCATGTTTGTGTGCGTGTGTGTGTGTGTATGTGTGTGTGTGTGTAAGTTTCCAAGCCCGCGTCCTCTTTGGTTGGCTGTTCTGGCCTCCTGGTTCTGAGCGCATGGCCCTTTGTCCTGCCTCTCCCTGCTGCATGCTCTCCAGTTTCTCCTGCTAGTCTCTGCCTCCTGCTTAGGCCTCTGCGGCTCAAGAGGAGCGGACAGCAAGTGGAGTGCAGCAGGACCCAGACCAGCTAGTAAAGAAAACTCCCAGGCACACAGCAAGCTGGGGCACAGACAGATTTTGGAGCCTCTGTGCAGAGCCCCTATCACTGCCATGGAACACCTCACCTTTTCTCCACCCCGTGCTCCTCAGGTGAGCAGGAGTGGGTTTCGCAGCCTTCCTGGTACTCTGCCACTGGCCAGGTTGAGCCTTCCCAGGCCCCTGCCTCCTTGGTGCCAGTCTGTAGACACACTCTGGGCTCACTCACAGTAAATCCTCAGGCTGCTGAGCATCAGCCCAAGAGAAGGCTGTCACCACCGGCAGTCCCCAGTGCCTGCTCTCACCAGTGTCACCAGCTGACTGTCCTGCCACAGGGACGTTGGGGGCAGCAGGAGTGGACTCTGGCCCTGCAGCTGCCCACATGTTTGTGTTTGTGATGGTCTGCCTTGTCTGTGTGTCTGGAACTCACGGTTCCACCCATCCCAACTTTGCACAGCTGCAAGGACCATGAGTGGCTGCAGCCCTCAGCTGCTGTCATTGTCATTGTCATTACAAAGGAAAGTGAGTGCCCCCAAGCGGCCTCTGCCCTGAAGAACGTCCTTTTCCTTATCTGTTCTAAATGTACTGCCCTTCACAGCTCTCATGAGTGTGTTCTCGTTACACTGGTGCCAGGGCCTTTAGGATGCCCTTTGGGAAGACTTGTGTGCCCTCTGCACACTCCGGCAACCCTCACCTCCTCCTTCCACCTTCCTCTATTTCGGGGTCCCCAGCAGCCCCAGCCTGTGAGCCCTTACTATGGAAACTAGAGGAAAGCCATTCAGATAGGGACATCTTGGTGCAATGCTGAATGGAAGACTTGAACAGTCACCAGCAAAACGTTTTGGCTGAGAGGCTGAGAGTGGAAGAAGCTGTGGGTTTGAATGAAGGCCACAGCCCCCCCCACCCTTTTTGATAAATATAAAATTCAATCATAGTAGAAGTGATACAAGCAACTCTTTCCTAGCGTTCAGTCACCGGACAGATGAACAGGTAGTGCAGAGCGAGCAAGAGCGAGGAAGAGTGAGCAAGATGTAACCCTCTGTCCAGGAGCTTAGGAGAGGAAGAAAGACAAAAAATGTTCCCAGCAACAGTGATAGACACTCACCGGATTGGCAGCAGGACCACTTCCCATGAGCCTGCGTGACTCGCTCTGGAGAGGAGATGGTGCTGTGTGTGTGTCACATGTGAGGAACTGAGCCTCCAGGCACTGCAGCCTGCCTTTCTGTGCTCAGCTCCATAGGGTTGGGATCTGGCAAAGCTGAGGATGGAAGGCCACAGAGACCCCGCCTTGCCTGTAAACACCACATAGACCTTCTGTCCATCTACAGGAAAAACAGTTCAAGTGCTGTGAACTATGTACAAGGAATTGGTTAAGGCAAGAGTTCTAAAGTTAATTGCAATTTAGGAAAAACTTGAGCCCATACTCCTAGATATCATGGATGAGGTCAGTGGGATGTCAGAAGAAAAGGAATATTTTAAATGTGAGATGATTTGGATGGCAAATAAGCTAGAGGGAAAAGAGAGAGAATGCTGGCTCTTCTCGTAGGTTTGAGAGGAAAGGTGAAATTATCTTTATGGTCAAGTTCTGTAGCAATGTCTGACTCAAGGGAAAATGCATAAATTCTAATTCTTAGTAAAATACAGTGGTGGGTTATAGCATGCTTTTGAAGTTCAGCACCTTCTAGAGAGAAGGGTGGAGGGGGCACAGCTCTCGCAATAAACCTAATGTGGTGTCTTGGTGTCTCCACATGTACCACAAGCTTCCTCCAGGTTGTTACCCATCTGATGCTTGAAGAGGGCAGCCGTTCCTCCAACATGTCCCTCTGTGCCTGCTGGATCTGCCTGTCATGACCACACAATTAAAGGAGGAATTCAAATTATGGCATGTAGCCCATTTGGGGATCTCCAACATTTAGATCCAAAAACCATTCCCAACAAGGAGTCGTGTCTGAAAACAAATCTCTACCTGACTATAAAGCAGGAATCTGAGCCCCAGAGGACAGTAGCTCCAAGAGAGCCCTGCCCCTGTTTGGGAGGAGCACTGAGATTGGACCCTCAGCCCAGATTAAACCTTTTTGGAGATGACCCCCGCAGGGACACGGGTACTGGGGGTCACAGCCCAGATGCCTTTCATGGCATGCTTTCTTAGCACTACTCCCCTTTAATCCACCAAGGGAGAGTTTTTAAAAGTTTTAAGTTTTAGTTTTGACAAAATGATCCTATTTTATAAAATTATGTTTTTCAAAATAACAGGGTATGCATATCCATTTTAGAAAAGTTAAAAAAAAAATGCAGATGAGCACATCAAAACTGATTCTTCCAAATAAGCCTGTCTACTTGATATAAAACAAGGGTAGAGGCTACTGCTTCGAATCTTACCATCCACTCACTTAGCCAGTGAGACCTGTTCTCTGCGGAAAGTCCCATTAGGGTCTCTGAAAACCATGGTTGACTTTCAAGAACTCTTTTTAGTTATTTCTAGAACTTTATCTCCTTTAGAAAAAAGGGTTTGTAAAGACAACATCTTAACATCTTTTTGATTCTCACTGAAAACTTGAAAGGTATTGATTGTAAAGCAGACTTTCAAAACTTGTTTATTTTAAAATTTTAGACTTGTGGGTACACGTGCAGTTTTGTTACATGGGTATATTGCATAATGGTGAGGTTTGGGTTTCTACTGTACTCACCAAAATAGTGAAGATTGTACCCAATAGGTAATTTTTAAAACCTTCACCTCCTCCTTCCATCCTCCTCCAATTTGGAGTCCCCAGTGTCTATTATTTCCATCTTTATGTTTATGTGTACCTATTGTTTACCTCCCACTTATAAGCAATAATATGTAGTATTTACTTTTTTGTTTCTGAGTTACTTCACTTAAGATAATGGCCTCCAGCTCCACCCACGTTGCCGCAAAGGACATGATTTCATTCTTTTTTATGATTACATACTATTCCGTGGTGTATATTACCACTTTTTAAATACAGTCTACTGTCGATAGACATTTAGATTGATTCTGTGCCTTTGCTATTGTGAATAGTGCTGTGATAAACATACGGATACATGTCTTTTTGATATAATGATGTCTTTCCTTTGGGTAGATGCCCAGTAGTAGGATTACTGGGTTGAATGGTAATTCTATTTTTATTTCCTTGGGAAATCTCCGTACTGTTTTCCATATAGGTTGTACTAATTTACATTCCTACCAACAGTGTATTTGGCTTCCCTTTTCTCCACATCTATGGCAACATCTTTTGTGGGTTTTTTGTTTGTTTGTTTTTGTTTAGTGATAGCCATTCTGAGTGGTATAAGATATCTCATTGTGGTTTTAATTTGCATTTCTCTGATGACTAGTGATGTTGAGCATCTCTTTATGTGTTTATTGGCCACTTGTATGTCTTCTTTTGAGAAATGTCTGTTCATGCTCTTTGCCCATTTTTTAATGGGATTGGTTTTTTTTTTTTTTCTGGCTGAGTTGCTTGAGTTTGTTGTAGATTCTGGGTAATAGCTCTTTGTTGGAAGCATAATTTGCAAATATTTTCTTCCATTCTCTACGTTGTCTATTTACTGCACAGAATCTTTTTAGTTTAATTAAGTCCCATTTGTCTATTTTTATTCTTGCTGCATTGCTTTTGTGGGCTTAGTCATAAATTCTTTGCCTAGGCCGAAGTCCAAAGTTTTTTTCCTAGGTTTTCTTCTATGCCTTTTATACTTTCAAGTCTTATATTTAGGTCTTTAATCCATCTTGAGTTAATTTTTATACATGGTGAGAGACAGGGGCCCAGTTTCATTGTTCTGCATATGACTAGAATTTCCTGTAGATTTTTCAGTTTGTGTGGTTAGAGATGTTCATAGAGATAGCCAATTTTCCCAGCACCAGTTATTGAATAGTGTCCTTTTCCCATTGTTTATTTTTGTCAACTTGGCTCAAGATCAGTTGGTTGTAGGTATGTGGCTTTATTTCTGTATTGTTTATTCCATTCCATTGATGTGTATGTCCGTTTTTGTACCAGTATCATGCTGTTTTAGTTCCTACAGCGATATAATTTGAAGTCAAGTAATATAATACCTCTGGCTTTGTTCTTTTTGTTCAGGATTGCTGTGGCTATTCAAGCTCTGTTTTTTTTTTTGTTCCACATGAACGTGAACAATCATTTTTTTTCTAATTCTGTGAAGAATCACATTGGAAATTTGATAGAAATTATGTTGAATCTGTAGACTGCTTTGGGGGTAGTTATGGTAATTTTAATGTTACTGATTCTTCCAATCCATGAGCATGGGATGTCTTTCCATTTGTTTGTGCCATCTGTGATTCCTTTCATCAGGATTTTGTAGTTTTCCTTGTAGAGATCTTTCACCTCTTTGGGTAGATGTATTCCTAGGTATTATGTGTGTATGTTGTGTGTGTGTGGCTATTTTAGACAGGATTGAGTTCTTGATTTCATTCTCAGCTTCAAAATTATTGTTGTATAGAAGTGCTAATGATTTTTATATGCTGATTTTGTATTCTGAAACTTTACTGAAGTTGTTTATCAAGTCTAGTAGTCTTGGAGGTGTCTTTAGGGTTTTCTAAATAGAAGATTATGTCATCACTGAGTGTGGTGGCTCACACCTGTAATCCCAGCACTTTGGGAAGTTGAGGTGGGTGGCTCACGCTTGAGTCCAGAAGTTTGAGACCAGCCTGGAAAATGTAGTGAGATCGCATCTCTAAAAAAAGGTACAGAACAAATTAGCTGGGTGTGTGGCACATGCCTGTAGTCCCAGCTACTTGGGAAGGTGAGGTGGGAGGATCACTTGAGCTCAGGAGATGGAGGTTGCCGTGAGCTGAGATCACACCACTGCATTCCAGCCTAAGTGAAAGAGCTATACGCTGCCTCAAAATAAGCAAATAAATAAATATAAATAAATAAATAAATAGATAAATAAATAAATAAATAAATAGTTCATGCTATCAATGAACACAGAAAACTTGACTTTCTCTTTTCCTACGTGGATACCTTTTGTCTCTTTCTCTTGCCTGATTGCTCTGGTTAGGACTTCCAGTGCTATGTTGAATAGCAGTGGTGAGAGTGGACATTCTTATCTTATTCCAGTTCTTAGGGAGAAATGCTTTCAACTCTTCCCTATTCAGTACTATAGTGGCTGCGGGTTTGTCCTGTATGGCTGTAGTTCTTTCAGGGTATGTTCTTTGATTGCCTAGTTTGTTGAGAATTTTCTTCGTGAAGGGATGTTATATTTTACTGAATCCTGTTTCTGCATCCATTTAGAGGATCATATGGTTTTTGTTTTTAGTTCTGTTTATGTGATGAATCACATTTATAGATCTGCCAATGTCAAACTATCCGTGCATCCCTGGAATTAAACCCACTTGATCATGATGTATTATCTTTTTAATGTACA